GTAACTCGGCATAATGTAACAGGCGTCGTAACTCAGCAATATATTAGAGGCGTTGTAACTCAGCAATATATTAGAGGCGTCGTAACTCAGCATGATATAACAGAGGCACCGTAACTCGGCATTATATTACAGAGAGGCGACTTAACTCAGCATGATATAACAGAGGCGTCGTAACTCAGCATGATATAACACAGGCATCGTAACTCATGATGTAACAGAGGCATTGTAACTCTGCATGATGTAACAGTTGTCATAACTCACAGCATGATGTAACAGGCGTCGTAACTCAGCATATAACAATAGGCGTCGTTACTCAGCATGATATAACAGAGGCGTCGTAACTCAGCATGATATAACAGGCGTCGTAACTCAGCATGATATAACAGGCGTCGTTACTCAGCATGATATAACCGAGGCATTGTAACTCAGCATGATACTGTTGATAAAATGGCAGATGCAACAGGTAATTCTAGGGAGACTTAGAGAGCAATGGACGATAAGTGTGTGTGTGTGTGTCAATACTACTAGCAGGGGTGAGTAAGAGAGAGAGAGAGAGAGAGCTGGTAAGAAGAGAGAAAAAAGAATGGCGTGAGTTCAGAAGAGAGGGAAAGAGGTGAGAAAAGTATATTATAAAACTAAATGTTTAATCCAAATATTCAAACACTAATTAATTTTAACCTTTCTTATATCTCAAATAATAATAACAATAATAATATTAACACCCAGTACATTGTAAGCACAATCTCTTACTAAAATTTTAAGTTATACCAATATATGATTTACACACTTGGAAAATATATTAACTAGTAAACTTACCTTTCTTTTTTTTTGGGGGGACTAACTTTTCTTTATTATAGAATTATTGTGTGAATTTAATGGTCCCGCTGCCATTGTACGTCAACATGTTTACATCATTGCACAGGTCGGTGCCACAGCAGCTGTTCAGGGAGGTGATAGTGGGGGTGGGTGGAGGTGGATGGTGGTGGGATTGGTGAGGGCAGGGTCTTAGTTGATTTGATTTACTCATACTGGTATTATTGAACTGCTCTCACTCGCCCCTCATGTTGACCTAATGTAACAGTCTGGAGGGTGTGTGGATGGTGTGTTCGTGTGCGTGTTCATATATAAACTCAAGGGAAGGTACACTCGCAACAAAAGTATCGGTGCATACTGTAGTGTGAACAATTTGAGACCAGTGACGATAGGTATTGGGAAAGGCGAGTTGTTCCAGCCGTATGTTGGCAGCCCTGGTCAAGTGAAACAAACTGTTATAAATAAGGTCAGGAAGTGATAAATAGACAGTATGAAATATGAGGAGTTCCCTGTTTACAAAATTATTTGTGATACCTGTGAATATTGCCACATTAATTTATGCTACCAAATAAACCACTCAACCTGGTCGTCCTGAGGGGAAGGTGCAGCGTGGACGGCCGCTCCGAGACCAGTCGTCTGTAGCACCAGTTTCGAGGTATCGCCGAATCCATCGTGCAGCGGTGTTCCTGTGGACACCAACCTGCCGGCTAATTTCTGTGACGCCGAACCCTTCGTTATGTAGGGCAATAATAGTTCCTCGTGTTCCCTCTGAGGTTTCCATGTCGTCTGGCATGTGTAGATCTCTACTGCTTCATATTGCCTCTGTTTTATACCCACGTTCACCGAGACCGAACCCTCGCTCATCATTCAGTCGACACAAAGCAACAATCCGAAAAGAGGAAACAAACACTCTGATTGTCAGCAGTATGGCAACACTTAGTGAAGGGGGGGGGGGGTTATGAGGATACACTTCCCAACCTTCCCGACATATCACAGTGTATACGTATCGTTTCGGAAGTCGTCGATCTCACCCTGCACCGATACTTTTTGGTGCGAGTGTACCTTTGCTCTTAATACGTAGAAAAAAAAAACAAGTGTAGATGGCATGTAATAAGGACACAATTACCAAACATCATTCCAGGTAAGAGTGAGGTTGACATCAGTGTAGCCAGATGCGTCACAACACCGATAGATCCTTAGTAAAACAAAGCTGTTTACCTGTTCTGGGGAGGGAGTGTATGGGGGGGGTAGATAACATTGGTAATTACGCTCTGTGTGTGTTGTTGTGACGGCCTCTCTGTGTATTGATCCTGTAGCGATGTTAATTTGAGTGATGTGATAAATATCATAGGCTGGTTAGTGTTGGTGCACCTGGTCTCTCGCTCTCTCTCTCGCTCTCTCTCTGTCTCGCTCGCTCTCGCTCTCTCTGTCTCTCTCGCTCTCTCTGTCTCTCTCGCTCTCTGTCTCGCTCTCTCGCTCTCTCTGTCTCGCTCTCTCGCTCTCTCGCTCTCTCTCTCTCTCTCTCTCGCTCTCTCTCTCTCTCTCTCTCTCGCTCGCTCTCTCTCGCTCTCTCTCTCGCTCCTCTCTCTCGCTCTCTCTCGCTCTCTCTCTCGCTCTCTCTCTCGCTCTCTCTCTCGCTCTCTCTCTCGCTCTCTCTCTCTCTCGCTCTCTCTCTCTCTCTCTCTCTCTCTCTCTCTCTCTCTCTCTCTCTCTCTCTCTCTCTCTCTCTCTCTCTCTCTCTCTCTCTCTCTCTCTCTCTCTCTCTCTCTCTCTCTCTCTCTCTCTCTCTCTCCATGGAAGGCAAAATCTTGACTTACACTAACCTTTTTTCTAATGTATGAACAGTACTCACTCTGGGGTCCCTGGCAGATGCAGGTCTTACCACATGATGACTGGTATAATAGGACACCGGGCAGAAACTCCTGATCTAAAAACAAAACATTCCCCCAGAAGTGTTTGTTAATACAGTGCAAGTAACACAATATGTATAATAACTGTCAAAAGTCCCGTCACTTCTCCTGCTGCTCCACAAACCTTGAAATTCAGACTCGTGAATCTGAAGCATCTGTGGACAACATATGCATCTGTGTCTGCTGCTTTGGGCTCATAAGTTTGAGTTTAAGGGTTTGTGGAGCAGCAGGAGAGGCGACGGGACTTTTGATTGACTGTACTAAGTATATTGTAGACCACTGATGTGTTTTGGACAAGTGAAGTAGCTCAAGTTTATAGTGAGGTCGAGAAAGATCTGGAGGGTCATTCACCTTGACCTGTGGAGTATTATTGTCCTTGACCTACACCGTGACTCTCTGTGAAAATATTAGACAATGGAAACTGGCTCAGAAGGTCCTCAGATTATAACCCCTTTTTGACATTCATCTTTTGCAGCTGTTGCTTGACTCAACTGTGTGGTTTTAACTGCGGTCAGTTGTTCAACACACCGTTGTTGTAGTGATGGTGTTCTGTGGGCCACTGGAACACTTATTTTAAGGCTGAATATCTCTTCCAGCAGCTCCATAATGCCCTTGCTGCTGGTGCTGAGAACAGGGGTTGTCTCATGTTATTTGTTCCACTTCTCTCCTCTCACCAGTGTCCATCACATCTTGTTACCCAAAACTACACCAGTCTGCTCGCCTCCAGCCTCTCTATGGCCCACCTGCTGGTCGCCACCTTATGCTTGGAGGCTGCTTGGTGTTAGTGATGGTTGTGAGGGGTTGGTCCCTATGAGTGAGGGCAGTAAAGGGCACAGAGTTTGAGAACTGCATTATTGGTTATGATGACACAGAAGAAAACCTCTTGACCCATGCCGAAATGTCAGCTGAAGTGCTTCCTTGAAACAGACAGCCACACCGCCACCCTTTTTCTCTTGATGGTCTTTTCCAAACCCCAATGGTAATAGCCAACTATTTACCTATTGTGAGTTCTGTGATGCAGGTGAATGATCTGCATAACAACATAGAGGTTCACATTACTGTATTCTTTAGTGGAAAATTGTACATAAAATCTCCCCAAGAGGACTGACAAGGGTAACCAGGGATTTGTGAAGCAGGTGGTATTCTTTGATAGGGGCAGGATGTGGTCACACTAGTCAGGGAAGGGAATGTGGCCGTGGTGTAGCTTGGAAGGTGTTATAGATTGTGTAGGACCCAGAAGTGCAAATGGGTGTTAGCAGTGTCCAGTAGGGAGACATCCACTTAGGATTTGTAGAGTGACCTCAATAAGGGGGTGAGGCCAGGTGGGTAGTAGTTTGTCTTCTCTTGATAATGAACCTGATAAGCTTTGTTGAACTTGTTTTCAAATAGTTTTGTTTTTGCTTTCCACCTGTGCCACATATCCCTAGTGGCCGCAACACCCATCACTTGTGTCTCCTGAGCCTCCACAGGGGTTCCTGCAGGGCTGCCAGTACTGTATATGTAATGTGTGCAACACCAAATTCAGATGTCTATAGCAGGGGTCAAGGTTACAGCTGAAGGTTAAATAACAAAATATAGTCTGGATAATAAATCGTGTGTCAATAGCTCTTAACTAGAAAGGATGTTTACCAGACGAAATTTAATTGCATACTATGTAGTCAGGGTCAGGGGTCAAAAGTCTTGAGCACTTAGCAATATCTGGCATCTACTTCTGAGTTATACATATATGATTGGGATATACAATACTAATAACGCTACTTATCACATTATGCCTGAACCACAAAATGGGATAAAACTCCTTAATACCTAAGATCTTCGGGTACTTACATGCAACATACTGTCAAGTGTTCAAAACTGTTGATCCCGACTGTACAATATTTCTCCAACATTACTGTATAATACCCTTAAATATTTTATGGGTGTACCAGTCATCTGCTAGATGAAGATCTCCACCAATATAAACCACACAACAGTCTTAACACTAACTGAACACAGCACAGTAACAATTTTCAGGTACAGTACTGTATCCATGTGGCAGACGTTACTGTATCTCAGCATTCTTTTATTTCATGTAATCCTGTCATTTATCATCTTGGTCCACCATTGATGTTTTCTATTGATCTTTTGTTTTTAAGATATAACGTTTATATGTTCATCCCCCCTTCATAATATACTGCACAAATTTTCTAAATTATTACAATAACTACCATATATACTGTGTGGTGTGAAGATCAGCGTCACTTAGTAGAAGGGCTAACTTATGTACTCTATTTACAGATCTCCTTCACTGCACCAATGAGCCCAACGTGTCCATCCCCCAGCTGGCCAACCTTCTCATCGAGCGGGCACAGATGCAGTCGTGGGTCATAGTCTTCAAGGCGCTCATCACTGTACACCATCTTATGTGTTATGGCAATGAGGTACTAATGGCGTTTGCTCACCGTACTCTTATTGTGCTACTGTAGTATGGGGAGAGGCAGGGGTGGTAGGTAGCAGTAGAACAAAAGAGCCTTGAATATGAAAGTTTGGTTAAAGTTATCAGGAGGTTCATGTGCGTGTGTGTGTGTGCTTACAGTATGTTTGTGTTCATGAAATATTGTGTACACTGTATATGGATATAAATGTACTGTATTGAGACTTTGGCGACCTGATGAACTAATGTTAAGTCTCAGACTAAGGTGGCCTCATTAACCCCATCACTACTTGAATTAGATTGCCTATTACTGTACAGTACTTGGTGTTGGCAGAATGATTAAATGAAGACAATGATTCACTTTGTTGTTTGTATTGCAGAGATTTACACAGTACTTAGCTTCTAGCAATTGCAACTTCAACCTCGGTGGGTTCTTAGACAAGACGGGAGTGGCAGGTAAGTTATCATGAGATCTACACTTGATTATAATACCTACTTGTTTTATTTTATGTCAAGTAAATTCTAATATTTATTGTAAAGATTTGCCCAAATGGTATAAATACTGTACAGCATTTATTGTACAGTACGTAGAGAATATTGAACATAGGCTCTTCTGATATGTTTGTGTGTCTTGTTTATAAATCATCAGTCTTAATGAGTCATTTCAGATTGGCTGTCGTATTTTCTGCTGTTGTGACAGACTTAGAGACAGAGTACTGTAGTTTTTTCAGCATACAGAATACCAGAACCGATGACGGATTTTTTTTTACATACATTTAGGGTTAACCTGTTTTGCTATTTTTGTATTTTCTGTATTTAAAGTTGGGTGCCTCTAAAATGTGGGGGCCACCCTCTGTTCAGCTGCACACTCTGACCACTTGTAAATCCCACACTGCCAAGAGGATAAGATAAACCCTAATGACAAAATGTACTGGGTTGAATGTTAGGAGTATTGTACAATTCTAGATATTGTACATTGCCGTTTTGTTGCTTTAGCCGTCAACATCGGACAAGTAGCGTTAACTTCTGTGTTAGATCAAGATCACAAAGAAGCCACGACCACCTGTCACAACATTGTTTGTTCGGGGACCAATAACACGTTAATTTATGTTTGTTAATGGCGTCATGTTAGGAATAAAGCGGATGTCATTCTATATATATATATATATATATATATATATATATATATATATATATATATATATATATATATATATATATATATATATATATATATATATATATATATATATATATTTGATTTTGTTCCCATTGTCATCATGTCCTTTGCTTTCACCGAGGCTGTGCAGATTATGTGGAACATTTATAGTACTTGTCCCGGGCAAGTGACTTTTGAAATATGCTTGCCGGGATGCTATTTTTTTTTACAAGCCCTGACAGATTGTTGGTGGATACAGTATTTGCTGGCTTTGAGTTTTTTATGGGAAAGGTTAAATATACATCATAAAACATTCAAATTTATTGTGTGTATCAACACACAGATCAGTTGTCTGTCTAAATGGTGTCAGAGGTGGTACCCCTTGTCATGTGATGTCATAACTAATGCCACCTCCATACACACCTGCAGGGTGCGTCGGGAGAATGAGCTGACACCCGTGATCGCCTATTGTACTCTACTACCACTCCCCCCTCCCCATAATTTGGTGTCAGTGGCAGTAACCCTTGTCTTGTGAGGTCATAACATCTGTCACCTCATGTCCACAGTCTCTCAGCTTGGTGGTTCCTTTGAAATGCTGACAACTTTCTGACTGATTAGAGGCAGGTTGGTGTCTTAATGTAGAGGTAAATTACCTGTACCTGATAGAGATCACTAATCCTAGTACATTGATGACCTCCATACAGGAAGGTTGGGTCACACATCACCTGACAAATTATCACCGAGGTATTTACCTCTCAAAATATTAGTTTCTCCACCAGGCCAGTGTCGGGCATATGGACATGAAAAATCACTGGCCCAGCCCCTTGTCCGGGCTGCCGGGCACTGCTAATCTGCACAGCTTTCACCCATTGTCAGTGCTTGCCTCCATTTGGATCATATTTCACTTGATCATCTATTTTAGTCATCTTATGTACAGTATATTGTCTCGCCATAAGAGGACCTCTGCCTTAATGAATCATGTCCTGTGCTTCCCATTGTTGTACTGTTATATTATTATTCCCTCCTGTGGTAATGATGTGTTATGCTCTCTTCCAACAATCTCGTAATCCTCTTCAATAATGCCTGCTGCGTCGTGATTGAATTCCCTGCAGGACAAAGTAAGTGTTCTGTTTATCTTGATGTATAGTTTTTGTTTAATCTCTCTCTCTTTGTCTCTCTCTCTCTCTCTCTTTGTCTCTCTCTCTCTCTTTGTCTCTCTCTCTCTCTCTCTCTTTGTCTCTCTCTCTTTGTCTCTTTGTCTCTCTCTCTCTCTCTCTCTCTCTCTCTCTCTCCTGGAAAAAAAAAAACATTTATACATTACTTGCTCCTTCCTGATTTAAAAGTGTGTAGCATAGGCAGCATTTACTGTCACTTTTGATCACTGACCTTCTCCACACACACACACACCTGCCCACAACACCTGACTGAATAATTTTTTTTGTTATGCGAGTGTTAACTCAAACGAAATTTGTATGCTGCACTGCCTCTCAGGAAAAGTATCTCGCAATGAGTGAGTTAGAATTGATCTTCATAGAGCTGGTAGACAGATCAAGTGATGGCTGAGTTATCAGGCATTAAAGGCATTACAGTACAGTATATGACTCGTAGTTGTCATACTGTGAGTGGTGGTTAAAGGAGAAAACGTTGTAGAAGTAATATACAGTACAGTATGGCCATATGAAATGATACATTCAGTTTTTGGCCACTAACTCCTTCACTACTTTTAATATTTTATTTGGCTAACACCTGTCAGTTTTATTCAGCTCAGAGGGCACCTTTTACCTAATAGAAATGTTGAGACCTGTTTTATAAAGAAGCAGCAACTGTTGAAGTCTTTGATAACCAGTCCATTTTATTGGTGGCAGCAGCAGCAAACATCACAAACACAAAACCTATTATAGTTTGTTTACCCGTTCATGGTGATGGTCAGTAGTTAAGATGTGTGAGGATGACCCTGCCTGTGCCACTCAACTTTGGAGTCAAGTTTATACAGATAAAAGAGATCGTGTTACTAGAATTACCCAATAAATACATTCATTCCTCCTCTTGATTATGATTCATTCTTGACAGTTTGGTTCAGTTGTCACAAGACAACACAAGTACTGTATATAGGACATATGAGTTGTGTCAGTCTGTTGCAAGTCATTTTTAAGATTATTGTATTCCTGGTGTGTACAGTCACCTGCACTTAAACCTGGTACAGTGGCTGGCGCATTTTGTGAGATGTGGCAACTGTATGTTTGTTATATTAAATCTCCTGGAATGGCCCTAAGGAGCAATAGTAACAAGATTAAGGATGCTAGATAAACATTCCACAGAGGTGCCACATGTCACAAAAACCTGCCAACCACTAGACCTGGTGTAAGTGCAAGCAACTGTATATCATAACTTCACATTTTTACACCAGTATACAGTACAGCATTCATTACATATCAGATTTATGTTATTTCAGTACTGTACACAAATTTTTTCTTGATGGCAAAATATGGTATGAGTGAGGAAGATTTTGGTTGGTTGATTCCTGTATCATGTGAATTTAAAAAGTATTTAATGATTGATAGTTCACTGCAAATTGCTTATTCTTGAACATGCACAAAGTGATTGTGATACATATGCATGATTTTTCTCAACATTTGACACAGTAATGCCTATCATTACCCTGTATTTATTTCTTGTGAAGATGTACATGTGTACCGGTGCATCATTTTAGGAAAGCCATAATTTTCAACCAAAAAGTGTTAGCCTGTATGTTGGAAATCCAGCTGCCTCTTAGGGTACTGTACTGTATTGATTTTGAAATTGATGCAGTACAGTATAACAGAAGTTAAGTGTAGACTTGTAATGTTACTGATGAAACTTATCTTTCTTTATTCTTAAATATTTTTGAGCAATTCATGTTTACATCAGAGGAACAATATTTCCCATTATTAACCCGGTACAGTAGTTATAATGTGGGTAGAGTGTCACTCACTTAGGAAAATTATGGCTAATAAAGGAGACATATACCTGCTCATTCTCATCTCTTTTAGCTAATAACTTTTAACTACATACATACAATTATACTGTACTTCAGCTGTGAGAATACTTTACAATCCATGTGTGTGTGTCTGCTTTATAACACAGTTCTCATCTTCTAGAAAATGACCTAATCACAAAGGAGTCAAGTGAAATGCTCTTAAACTCTATTAAAACTGTATCTAAACTTTTTCACTAGATGTACAGTCATGGAAAAAGGTCCTGTTAGTCCTCCGTACCATCCATGAATCCTGAGACTCATGAATCTATGAATCCGAGACTAAACACAGTGCACCATCTATGGACCCAACATGTGTGATGTCTCAGATTCATGAGTCTCAGGATTCATGGATGGTACGGAGGACTTGTTTCTGTGACTGTACCTATCCTGCCTTCATTAAGTATTGAATGCCTTATAGTACTGAACTTACATGCCTTAGTGTTAGAAAAAATTAGTTACCATGAAAACAGACGGACATTTATTTCTAATGGAAGTAAAAGTTTAATGGAGTGAAGTTTAGATAACGAGTGAATTACCAAACTGATGTGAATGAACGAAATTTTTTCTTTTTGTAGAAAAAAAAACAATTGTTGTTGCATATATTGTAAACAAGACATTTTCTAACATTTACACGTTATATTTTGTACAGTACATAGTTTTTTATCATGCTAACCTTTGCTTTTCCTGTATATGAAGATTACATTTTACATGTAAACAAGGATTTGTATATCATTCAGCTTCTATGTCTGACCATTGTTGTGAAGGTCATTGTGTGGTACAGTAGTTGAATATATGACCATTGTTTATGACTGAGCAACAGCTGCACTTTTAAACATAGCAAAGTATAAAATTTTTATGAAAATTTAACAAGTACTGTATTTATATTCATCATTTAACTAAAATTTGAATATGAATTTATTGTACTGTTACTATCTCAGTAAATTTGTCTGCATTTATCACTCATCTTTGTTTTTAAGAAAGAACTTGCTGTAATAGAGAGCAATTAGGTAAAGTTGATGAAGAATTGGCTATGAATTTGATGATGAAACTGACTGTACAGTACTAGCTACTAAACATTAGAAAAAAATCATATTAATTGAAAACTTGCTCTCCTTCTAGAATATATTCATACTTAAATAAAAAGATGGCATATATATTTTCACCAAATTTTTTCCTTTTAAATGAGCAATACTGACATGATGCATTTGAGCTATTCATGCATATATACAAACAGGGTGTTTCAAAAAAATTATTATATTCTACACACACTGCCTTAAAGATTTTTGTGATGATAGCATGAATGTTGATGTGTGATGTCTCCTGGAAAGTTATGGCAGACCTCACATAAACAAGTGGATGTAATATTACTGTTGTCACACACACTCAGTCATGCAATCACCACAAAAATCTATAATGCTTTTTTTTTTGAGGATTGTTGATATTCCCACACCACCTTTGCATATATACTGTACATATATATATATATATATATATATATATATTTAGCTTTCGTCTTTATTCAAGACATCTTCAGAGGCATCTGGATTACATGGACAGAGAGAGGCTTAAATATACAGGGTGACCTTAAAAACATGAGGTCAGGTCATAATGATGTCATCCACTAATCCACACACCAACACACACGTAGAGGAGCTTAAGAGAAGGGGGGTGACGTGACTAGTCAGGTCACGTCAGTGATGGTCAGTTGATGTTACATAATTTTATTTGTCAGTGGCCCAAGGTTAAAAATGCTTTGAAAACCTTTGATCTAGATGTATGATAGTTATTTAGTGGGTCCCTTATTTTTGACCTGACCTGACTAGTCACGTCACCCCCCTTCTCTTAAGCTCCTCTACGTGTGTGTTGGTGTGGGGATTAGTGGATGACATCATTTTGACCTGACCTCATGTTTTTAAGGTCACTCTGTATATTTAAGCCTCTCTCTGTACATGTAATCCAGATGCCTCTGAAGATGTCTTGAATAAAGACGAAAGCTAAGGTGCTCCGTTGTTTCCCTTTTCCCGTGTGATTTTATCGATATATATCTGTATATATCGATATATAAATATTTACACATACTTACATACATACATACATATATATTTCATTAGCCCAATAAAGCACGCGGTACTTCCTGACCTGATAGTCACGTCATTCTCTTAACACCTCAACCCGCACAGGTATTTGAACCCTACGATCGATATATATCTGTATATATCGATATATAAATATTTACACATACTTACATACATACATACATATATATTTCATTAGCCCAATAAAGCACGCGGACTTCTACATACAATTAACACCTCAACCCGCCAGGATTTGAACCCACGATCCTATGACTGTCACAGTCATAGGATCGTGGGTTCGAATCCTGGCGGGTTGAGGTGTTGATTGCATACATATATACATATATACATACATATATTTATTTATAGGTTGGTCTCTTTTTCTTTATTTTTATTTACCTTCATACACAATTATATGAAACTTTTCATTCCTGGTTGCAGAGTGACTTTGTGATAGAGAATTTAATGTTTGAGGTATATGCATGTTCTAATATATTTTATTAATTATTGTGTTACTGACTTAGAATAATAATTGTCAGAATATTTCATGACTTTTTATGGTGTCTCATTTGGCTGTACGTACTGTATATTTAACCATTAAACTTGAGTTAACAGTCAGCTAAAGTTAAATTTGATCTTAGCTTTTGTCAATACTGTTATATTAATACAGTAATTAACTTTGTATATCTTAATGCTTTCAGTATTGTGTATCACATTAAGGCTTTTATAATGAAGTTGTCACAGTACAGTACTAGCATGTCATGTGTGTCTGATCAGCATGGTGGTACATTAATATCTTTTTTGTAGTTTTATTTATTGTTATAACATATGTGCATCACATTATTTCAACTGATATTAAAAGACTATATTTTGTATTCATCAGGTCATCCACAACTAAGTAAGTAGAAGATATATATATACGTAGCTATACAGTATGTGGCGTTACGGGTACAGTATGTGGCGTTACGGGTACAGTATTAGTAGTTGGGAGGCTTGGTGGATGTAATGATTTCACTGGAATGAAGTTGTTGGTAGTAACTGCTTGATGCAAGTGCTGGAAGCTTGAACCTCAGCCTGTTATAATTGATGGTACCTTCCTTACTGACAAAATTTTTTGTAATGTTCTAAATTGTATGTAGCTATCAGTGTTGTGTGTCCTAGGTTTAAGGATGTGCAGTGAACTCTTTAAATGACTGGCATTCACTGACTGCGATCACTTTTCTGTTTCTGGATTATCACCTGATTTGAATTTATAATAACTGTAGTTTCATTCATTTATGATCTGTACTGTATTGAACCGAGTCAGTGAATTTTGTTGACAAGTTGTACAAGATCTATTGGAGAATTTAATGAGATTTATATGGTGGTAAGGTTACTTTCACAATAACAGACTGAAATTTTTGTTAAATGGTGATACGTTAACCCTTAAACAGTGGCTCAGGAAACCATAATCTGCCCCCAAGTGTACAAAAAATAAACGAGGAACATGAAACGTCCATTGATGTTGGCCGCCGTCCCTACAGCCAACATACACTGATGATGGCTGCTGTTCAAGGGTTAAAGGAAAAATATGCTTTGATATTAGTTTATTTGAAACCATGGATGTTGACAGAGGTTTTGACGCAGCACAACTCTCAGCTTCTAGCACTATTTTTGAATGGGATGTACCCTGTAGTGGTAACAAGGCAGCATGATTACTCAATGGCTTCACTGTTTAAGAAAGTGTAATATATATATATATATATATATATATATATATATATATATATATATATATATATATCTTGATAAAATCACACGGGAAAAGGGAAACAACGGAGCACCTTAGCTTTCGTCTTTATTTATTTTATTTTATTTTTTTAATTATTTTGTTGCTGACAACTCTTTATTAAATAGGTACAGGTTAACTTTTTGAAATTTTCTTGATTTTAAAGGTTAGGATGATGCTCTTTGATAAGGAATTGATGTAGTGGATGGATTTAGATCTTTATTAAATAGGTACAGTTTATCCTCATAATATTCTCTTTGTTTTAAAGGTTCAGATGCTGTTTTACAAGAATTAATATAGATGGAATTAGTATTGGTTATTATGTTACAAAATTTATACCCCTGTGATAATGTTGCCTTGTTGCTGTTTATAGATGGTGCACTATAGGATAAGATTTAATTGTTTCTGAAGAGTTTTGGTAGATTCTTTAGACATGGTTAAGGGTAAGTGGTAATTACTGGATAATGCTATTAGGTTAAATGTCAAGGTGTTAACTATATACACTTGCTTATGATGGTGGTTGGTGAGCTTTATTCTACTTTAATAATGATTTTTCAGTAGTTTTGTTATCCACTCTAGCATCTCTGACCCTGTAAGCTATAGGTAGTTCGTACAGTACAGTAGTTTGAGTGTTTTAAGGTGATTGACGGAGTAACTCGTATGTTCGCTCTTAAACTTTGGGGGAAATTCTCACTCAATTTATTTGTACATAGTATTATATAGTTAACACACTGATTGGAGTTGCTTGTGTAGTGTAGTGTACAGGTTTGTGTATTGTAGTAGTGTAGTGTGCAGTAGTTGCTTTTCTTTTGTATATACTGTAGTACCTATACAGTATCTTTGTGCTAGCTTCACTTTTCAGTTCCACTTATTATTCTGTATTCTGTTTGTATTTTTATGTATTTTCTCTCGGTATTTTCTTATGCACAGCCTTTTGGTTTAGCTTGGTAATGAGTGTATTTGAAGAACTTAGCTTTATGGGATTATACTACAGGGTGTGAGTCTATAAGTTATCTGACCTAATTTAAAACCTAACCTAACCTCAGAAATATTATAGATAGAAAGTGCTGGGTTTTTTTTCCCCTCAGTTCATCAAGTATAATAAAAGCGATGTGTTTTTTTCCATAATTTTTACAGGGTTCTGAAGTTTTTGAATGGCTCGGATAATTTTTAGACATTCTGTATGTTTGTGCAAGTGTATCAGAAAGGTAAGGTAGAGTAGGTATAATTGATTAGGATTGCATGAGCGACACAAAATTGGAGCCAAATTAGTTGTAAGGGAGGCAGTGTGGTATTGTAGTCAGGAGGTGTGTAGGGGGGGGGATATGGTGAGAGGTTAGGAGGTCGAGAGGTCAGACTAGTGAGGATTGGCTGATGATGTGTGTGTGTTGGGGGGGGGATAGTGAGAGGTCAGATTGGTGAAGGTTGACTGACTGACGTACGAGGAGGATATAGTGAGAGGGGAAGAGATAGAAACAGCTAACATATTGGAGACAGAAAAATATGTTCATGAAGACAGTATGGTGAGAGGAAGAGGTTACGGTACATAAAGTTAATGATATGAAGAAGAATCTGGTAGAGAAAGAAGGAAAGAAGATAGGTTGATAATGAGAGGGGATATGAGTTAGGTCAGTGGTTCTCAACCTTGTTTGCCCCATGCACCCCTTTCACCATATGTCAGAATGTCATTCCCCCCTCCTTTACAAGATTGTCTGCCTCAAAAGTGCATTCCAAATAATATGCATATAATACTGAAAATCCTTTATTTTTTCCATATTAGTATCAGTTTCTGAAAACCTGAAGGGGGAAATTCCCCCCTGGTTGAGAACCCCTGAGTTAGAGGAATGACTGAGAAAATAGTATCACAGTACGAGTTTATTTTTTCCTCGTTTATTTTTATTTTTTTGTTATTATTTTATTTCCTCGGTAAGTGGTTGATATAAACATGACACCTCTCGTCCCTCTCTGCAGGCTATGACATGTCAACGTTTATTCGACGGTATGCCAAGTATATCAACGAAAAGGCCATCTCATATAGGAGTGTGGCCTTTGATTTCTGCAAAGTTAAGCGTGGGTATGTAAGATGTTCATTTGCTAATATAGATAGGCAATGAAATTTTAACATGACATAATAATACAAAATTTGATGAGTGTAATGCAGCATCCTCGAAAGAATTTATTGAAATATTGAGGTGGAAAATCAGAGTACAGTGTTTGTAGTCACAAAGGAGTAAAAGTGTGGGATATTGTTGTGTACAGTTGTGGGGAAAAAAGAATTCAGCAGGCAGGGAGGGAGGTGTTGGTGGAGAGCTGGCAACATCATATAGAAGCGGCGATTAAAAGTCAGCAATTTTCTTTCCACGTCACTAATTTATTTATTTATTTATTTACTTTTTATTTTTTTATTCTTATGAGGCATATGCAGCTTACATTCCCTCACTGCCAGATTCTTTTTGTCCACAACCATACATTTTAATTATAGTTATTCTCACAGTTGGGGGGATCTATCACACTCTTGCTCCATATTTCTTTTTTTTGTTGGGGAGGGGGGTTATAGTGCAGCCTGCCCCCACGGTGTTGAAGGGTTAATGAGTTATTGTAAAACTGATGGCAAATTTAGTGAGGAATTGTGTACAGAAGATTGGAGAAGTGATGAAGAAACACTCGAGGTTTAAACAGAAGATAGTGGAAGCATAGACGAGGGAATTTCCAATCCCCAATTAACTGTCATTTTGAGGTGAAATTGTGAGTGTATGTAGGAGAGTGTATGTGTGTGTGTCTCCAGCTCCTTCCAGTTATCAGCTTCTTGTATGTTGACAGCAAGGAAGATGGGACTTTGCGGACGATGCCAACAGACCAACTACTCAAGACCTTACCCGTGTTGCAGTCCCAGGTTGATGCTCTTTTGGATTTTGACTGTACTGCCAACGAGCTGACCAATGGCGTCATTAACTCAGGGTTCATGCTACTTTTTCGAGATCTGATTCGCTTGTTTGCCTGCTATAATGATGGCATCATCAATCTTTTGGAAAAGTATTTCGAAATGAACAAGAAGCAGGTGAGTTATGGAACACATTTTATAAATTGAATTATTTTTGCAGATGAAATTTAAATATAACATCAACTCAAAGTAATGCCTATTTGTTTTAACTTAAAAGAACAAACTCAAGCTATGCATCTCTTGGCCCTACTGACTGCCCCCGTTTTCTCTACATGTCCAAACCAATTCTCGACCTTCACCCACACAAATCCTTACCAATACTTGGACGCTCTCTTAACTCTGAACAAGGTTTAGTATCTCTTAGCGTCACATTCCACCCATCTCGCCATTCCCATTTCAGCTCGCTCAAGTTACACGTGTCTTCTTTAATTGTCCGTACTTCACTGCCACAGAACATTGCACTTCTTGTACCAGCTTCATGCATCTTTCCTTTCATGTTGGAGAAAGTCCTCTCTCCATCTATAATGGCAACAGCTCCCTAAACATCTTCCAGCCAATTGTGATTCTTACAACTGAGGTAGCTTCTGTATTACCTCCAGCACTGATCATACTGCCCATGCAGCAGAACTCATTAGCACAGTCCAGGGATACTCCCCATGTTGAATTTTTCCAGCCCTGTCAAAGCCACCTGATTACCTGTACATATAGCACACTAATTCAGTAATAACCTGGAACCTAACCCACTGCTCCCTATATTTTTTTTACAGATTTACTTTACTTGGCATTTTCCAGGAACCTAACCAGTGATTAAATTTTGGGTTTATTTTATTGCAATCAACTTTTGTTATTTACATTTTTTGTCTCCATTTAATACTCCTCTACTGCTCCATGAACCCCAAGATTCAGACTCGTGGAGGAGCAGAAGAGGCAATGGGACTTTTGTTTGCGAGTGCACCATGTTTGTCTATTAATTTATTGGTAATATTTTTAGCATTTTATAATATGTTGGGAATGTAAAGTTGTTTTTAATTACTTTGTGCATTTCTTTGACAGGCTCGGGATGCTTTAGATTGTTACAAGAAATTCCTTATACGCATGGATCGTGTAGCAGAGTTCCTCAAAGTTGCTGAGGTAAGGTGTCTGGCCTCTCTGTAGGTCCACTGGTGTAGTGGCTTTAATTAAAAAAGGAGAATCTCAAGTAAATAAATTAAAAAAAATCTTAGGTAAATTTTATTCATTACTTTTCACTTTATGATTTATTTTTTTTCAGAACATTTGTATTTCTTACATTTGGCAATTAATTTTGAAAGGTAGAATATTTGGCATCAACTGTTAATAATAAATCTTTCTACTAATGTCATTGTCCTTCCATAGGCAGTTGGAATGGAGAAGTCTGAAATTCCTGATCTCAAGCAGGTATGATAATATGAAGAGATTCAGAAGCAAAAGATCTTGCCAATCTTTTTTTTTTTTTTTTTCCCCCTTTATTTAGCATTTACTTTTTGGCTCTTTCCAATTAAACACAGAATTGAATAAATAAATATGACGTTCATGTAAGTTTACATCTTGTTCCTGTAAATAATAACCTAAGAAATCAATGCTGTGTGTTCTTGGGAAGAGCACGAATGTTGTTGCTGTACAAGTGACCTGACAACCATTGATGAGCCATTGATCAAACACACACACACACACACACAGTGTAGACATTCATGGACCTCTCTCGGTCTTCTCTCTCCAAGTGTTATTTTTCCTGTTTCTTATTTTAGTCCATTAAAATTGAATGATAAATCTTTCATCAAAAAAATGGAAGTGTTATCATACAGTTTTATAAGATACTGTATAACCGCGCTGCTTTGTCAGAAACCATTGACGTCTGACAAATGCAGGGTGTGACGGGTTTAGATGACACTTGATGGAGATTAATTGAACTTGTCACATGAGAGGTGTCAGTCATATATCGATGGTTCACAAATGGTATATTGCTATACATGTATTATTAACCATCTCCTCTTTTGCACCTGGCCGTCTGTAGAGTGTAGGCATAGACAAAGGTGATATCCCCGACCTCACTAAGGTAGGAATCTCTTTTAAGTGATCACTTTTACACAAATAATTAACGTCTAGAGCTTTTGCTAACCTCCTTCAAATCAACTAAAAAGACATGTTGACTCATCACTAACAAGGAATGGTGTCAGTGTGAGAGGGGCATGCAGAGAGGCACATATTTACCACTCATATCATTTGAATGTAAAGGCAATGAGAAGTTTCTGTATTAACATGTTCCAATACCTTTCATCTGATTAACTAGAATTGTATATGCTTTGATCTCTTGAGCTGAGTGAGTAGGAAGCAGTGAAGAGAGGAACTGAAGAAAGAAGGAAAGAGGGGTGTCTAGTTATTAATCTTTTATGGGGGTGAAATGTTGTGGAATGGAAGCTATTCTGGTGTCCTGTTTTAAGTGAGAAGCTATGGTAAGATACATGAGAGAATTTTTCGGGTGTAGAGTTGTAGCAAGTGTTATTGGAGGGAAAGGGTGTGGTGGCTGTGTAGATAAAGTACAGTTTTCATCTCCTGCCCAGGGCACCCCCAGTCCATCCAGCTGTTAATTGAGGCACAATGAACCAAAGGAGGACAAGTGCCATAAATGAAAAACAGAAAAATGCAGTTAAAGTTTGCAAACCTTCAAATGACCATAACTTTGGAACCGTGAAGATACAGTCTCTCCTCGACATACGATGGGGTTCCGGACCGACGACCAGGTCGTAAGTCGAAAATAATACATAGAAATTGAAGGTTCCAAGTGTTCCCTGAAAAAGGCAGTGATGGGTAGGGAAACACCGGGTAACACTGAAGTCCATTTATTAACGGATAGGAGAAATACAAGTATAGTGACTAGCGTGTGCCTTGCACGACCCACAGAGTCAGACTGAGATTGCCTTGCCATATGGCAGCCTCGGGGCAATGTTGCCACATAACACGTGCAGTGTTGCCACGTAATTACATATATAAATGCTACTCGGCACAGTAGCTTATATACAAGGTTGCTACTCGGCACAGTAGCTTAGATACATAACCTACAGAAATTATAAAATGAAATACTGTACGGTACAGTAAAAGTAATCAATAATGAAAAATGATTAAAGTGTTACTGTGCACTTGCCTTTAATGTAATCAGCTGAATGCCTCAATAATTTTTTTTAATTAAACATGGAGACTACATTAATTGGATGAAGCAGAGGGGAAGACAGGGCTGGTGGGTCATCAATTTTGCTTTCTTCAGGCAGGCTAACATACTTGCTTGTTGAAGGTATTGTCATCTTTAGGGAAATAAGAGGCAGCAGTGGTGGGGCTTGAGTAGACAGCAATGGGGGACTTCTTAAAATATATGCCCAATTTAGACTGCAGGTTTGCCTTTTAAGTACATAATATTCTTTCACTCAAATCCTAATGAAACACTACTGGAGAACATTCCTTTGTCGCAAAACAGTTTATAAATTAAAGAAAATAATTACAGTGTGTTTAATATATTACAGTATATTATAAATAAATAAATAAAACAAATAATTCGGTAAATCTATTTAAAGTAAATGGAAAATAAGCAAACATGTTATTTACCAAGACCCTTCCGTCTGGCTCAGGGTGAGATGTAGGGGAGATAAAGAAGGCTATTTATAGCCCATCAGAAGTGGCAGTACCCTAATGCACCATAAATAATTCATTGAACATTCATTTTTTGTACATAGTATATTCAGTATATATATATATATATATATATATATATATATATATATATATATATATATATATATATATATATATATATATATATATATATATATATATATATATATATATATATATATATATATATATATATATATGTGTAATAAATGTATGTAGTAAGTACATACTGGTAACCTTTTTCACTCAAATCCTAATGAAACATCACAATTAGAATACGGTGGTTGCTGTTAACCACATGTTGTATAAATAGTCACACCACCCAGACGAGGGAACACTCCCACCACGCTTCAGTGACGTCACTAGTGTTTACACTACACCAGCGAGTATAATTTGATGACATTACTTGAAGTGAATTGGCCTTATTTTAAAAAATCAAGGATGGTTGGTAAAGGACTACTGAGTCAGTGGGTAAGTGTCACATTTGGGGTACTGGTCTTATACAGCAAATAGAGCTCAAAAGCTACTTTTTAAATGGAAATTTGGGGGGGGCGTCTTATGCACCCCGATAGGCCGTGATAGCATCTTTAAGTGAAGAGGCAGCAGTCTTGAGTAGACAGCAATGGGGGACTTCTTAAAATATATGCCCAATTTAGACTGCACAGTTTGCCTTTTCTTTTCATTGTAAATCTCCCTGTAGCAAGCAAGTGCATCTTGGATCAGTCTGTCAACTTTTACAAAACGCTCAACATTTTGATCCATTTCTTCAAACATTTGCATCCCCTTATTAATAGTAGCAAATGCCTCTGCCTTGTCCTTCAAAATTGTTGATATCGTCGAGTGAGAGAAGCCAAGGTCGCGTGAAATGGTTGCTACCGTTTTTCCATTTTCATAATGCATTATTATTTTCATTTTCATCTTAAAAGTAATTAACTGTCTTCTTTTCTTATCAGCACCATGAGAACTCTCACTTTTACGCTTGCCAGCCATTTTAAAGGAAATTATAAAAAAAAAATTTGTTGGTACACAGCGCGATCACTAACAACAACGACGGCCAAACACCAACTGAGTGGGCTACGATGTGGATGTTGTACACCACGAGGTGGCCCAGCCCACGCTGTCGTACGGGACGGAAGCGTTTCGGTACTAGAAATAAGTAATTTGAAAAATATTTTATATGACTACGGCGGTCGTAAGTCCGGGTTGCCGTAAATCAAGTTGGTTGTAAGTCGAGGAGTACCTGTACTAATTTGATTCAAGTGGCAGATTGTATCATTGTTAGTGCAGATTTAATTAATACTAGTGAAAGACATCATACATATTGTTTTAAGTAAACAATGTAAGTACAGTATAAGTGAAGGACACATTTACCGACTTTATAATTTAGGGGCAATGAATAACTTTTTTTACATAACAATGTATGATGATGCAGAAAATAAATATGGTCCAAAGTCATGTGTGTTTTGAATTAAAGCAAACAATACTGTGTTTACAGTCACATTGCTCTGACCACTATCATGCTTCTTTTTAGCCACATTTTTCTGCCACTTTAATAAGTCTACCTGCCTTGAGCTACCCTCCTTACCACTAGATGGATCACTCCAGTCGTGATGCATCAGACACATTTTAGAAATAGCACCTTCAATCTTATGAACACTTCCATTTTAGGACGGATAATCTCTTCTAGACAGTAAATTGATTTTCCTATTATTTCTGTGAAAATATCTTTTTAGGGGCATACCGGTACTTGTCCTATTTTGATTCTGTGCGCCTCAATTGGTACCCGACTTAACTTTGGGGGAAGGAAGAAGCAGTTGAGGATGGTACCAGCCACACTGCCTCCATGTTTAATGAAAAGAGACTTATCAGCATTGTATATACGAGGGCATCCACTTAAGTGGATGAAAATCAAATAATGTGTCTTTCTTTCTAGTCTTGCACCCTGAGGTACCCCTCTCACTTTTATTTTAGGATGGCTTGACTAGTGTTTGTAAATTTTGAAATTTTCAGAGAATGAAACCGACATTTGCAAATGAATGTTATTAGTTAAAGATTAGGTGTATTTAGATAAGTCTTATATAAGAGCCTTTGGCTGGAAGTAGTAGAAAGAGGTCAACAGAACCGAACAGTACGATACAGCTACTCCTCGACTTACGACATACTCGACCTACGACCACCCGGACTTACGACCGCCTCAGTCGTACCAAAGTTTTGTCAAATTACATATTTTCGAGTCAATGTTAGTGATTGCGCTGTGTGCTGACAAAAATTTTTGTAATTCACTTTAAAATGGCTGGCAAGTTTAAAAGTGAGACTTTTGTGGTGCTGAGAAGAAAAAGAGACACCCATTTTAGATTTTCTATGTATTATTTAAGCATTTTTGACTTACAACCAATTCGACTTATGACCTAGATTTGGGTTCCTAACCTCGTTGTAAGTCGAAGAGCAGCTGTATTCAACAAATATTTGTTTTGAAGGATAGGTGACCATCAAAAGACTTTGAGTACAGTATAGAAAGACACTTTAACTGCCGAATGGTTCAACAGTTATATGATGTTACGTCTTATGGGTGAAAGAAACCCACAACTTGGACTCGATCAACGTTTATTGATTGATATGGTCAAAGCCTGGAAAAGTGAAACACTCGTTAACTACTGTTTACATTCCATTACATGTATACATTATACTTCAGTTGGTAAATACGAACACTATTCTGTATGGTTATTATCCAAATTGCCTTAGGCTATGCACGTATGTAGTTTACAACATTTCGCCATAATACAAACACTCACTGTTCTTTCACTCACGTGTGCAGGCATATAACTCCACTTAATCCTAGTATCGCTCCAAGTAACTCCTAGTTATAGCTAGTGTGTGTGTGTGTACACTCGAAGGGGCTGTACGATACTGTCAGCCAGAGATGTTCCGAGCCCCTATCTATGGTCATAACGAAATACTTGTTGTGCATCCACAAACATCTGGCGAGGTCACAGGTTGCGTGGCCACATGGGAGTCATGGGTCGTGGCATACTAGGGCGGCGATAACAGACACCTTCTCAATAACTCAGAGAAAAAGACACAGAAGGGCAAAAACTTCATTCCAAGATGGTCAAAAACATCCATTTGAAGATTAAAGATAACTGTAAATAAAGAATTGGACTTCCAAATATTAATTTACAATACTTACTTGTTGTTGCTGTAGGTTCAGTACAGTACTTACAGTAATTACTAAGTTACTGTGTAAATATCTGCCTTTCTGCATGTAAATGACTTAAGCACATTAATTCCTATATACTTGTGTTCCATAGGTGTTGTTGACTCTTGAGTTGCTCTGGAAGTCTCAAAATATTTTCAATTACATGACAAAGTTTGTTTCTTCACACTTTTAAATAAACATGACTGCATTTACCTATGTGTAAATGATATTATGCTAAGCATATTTTTGTCATTTTAATTTTGAAGTTTAGATATTCATAGTTCACTTGTTTAATATTTATGGTCTACCAATTTCCATTGTCTGTAAGAAATTACTGAATTTAATTGGACTCGGATCTTGAAGGAGATTCTTTAATGAGAACGTGTGCACCGGAGATCAAAAAGAAGTATGTGTAAGATGATCCAGAAACCTTAAGTGTGTATACTTGTCGGTACAGTAGAGATGGTGGAAAGAAAATGTTGGTCCTCAGATGTAGTTTTGGGTGGTGAAGGAAGGAAGGAATGGTTATAATGCATAAGAATAGAACTGAAAGGAGATTTTTTTATATTCAAGTACAGTGTGACATAAGTGAAAGTTAAATGTTATGGTGGAAGTGAGTAGGGTTTGAGGAGGATTATAAAATAACAAATGGAGGAATGAAGCCTTTTGGTTATCTGCTTGGCTTTCTTGACATGTAAGGGTAAGATAATAAGATACTGTACTAGTAGAGTATTGGAGGAATGCCTGAGTGATGTGTTAGGCCAGGTTTTTGACACCATAAAATACACATGATGGAGCTAACCTCTTCGATATGTTATTATTAAGGCGAGTTGATGAATTCTAAGTATTGATGACTTGAAAGGGCTTACTGTAGTTTTTTAATTAAAAAGAACTTGAGGTGATATAGAGTTAGAACAAAAATCATCAGTTTGAATAGGTTACATAGATACTTCAAGGGGATTTGTAGATTGGAAGGGAAATAAATAGTTTTAATGAATGAGATAAAGTATGCTTGTATACTTGGGTACTGATGTGATGTTTTTGGTGAAGACTTTAGAATCTTTTAAGATTTTGAAGATCATGATGATGATTCGTTTTTTATTACTACACGTTACTAATGTACCATATAGAAATGTACAGTATTATTTATTCATATTGTTTTTATTGCATGTGCATATAATATTCCTGCATGATCTTATATATTGCATGGTGGACACACTGTTGAACTTTGTCTGTGTTTATACTATGGTAACACCTTTATTTTAGGTTAATAACTAACATGAAGTTTGGAGAGTTGCATGATAGAACCCACCTCATGTTTTGCAGGATTTAGTAATTTTGACCACAGGGGTATACTGTACTATACAGGCAATGACCGTTATACAATGGAGGTAGGGACCTCAAAAAATCATCACTAACTGATCGATTGTAAGTATGTTGATTTTAATAACTTATGGAGAAAAATAGGTTCCGTAACTGAGACTCTGAAGAGCCCAAACAAGATTTATGTCCTGCTGCTATAATGATTAAGTAATGTCGAAATAACTCAAATAATTTAAAAAACAATCCATAAATATATACAAAATATACAAGAGCAATAAATTTATACAAAATTTACAAAAACAATAAATTTATGCAAAATATAGATTAATTTTCATTTACCTTACATGATAAATATGTACAGTATGTGTACAGTAGTAGTTGTGATCCCCAAGTTGTTACTACAAGTAATTTCGGGTAGACATACATAATTTTCTTAATTTTTTTAAAACTGCTACATGCACACACAATCATTCATACAGAATGTGCCAAAAAAGCAAATAATGATCATAAAGTCAAATAAATAAAAGGGATTAAACATTTATTACAGGCAGGAACTAGCACAGAGTGAGGGAGCAACGTTTCCTCATGGCTCCACTGTCGTGTGTAGTAACAAGATTGCCAAATGGCAACACAGTTTATTTATTTATTTTTTATTCCTCTCATATAATGGTACAGTATATATTATTTTCTGTACAAAGAATAACTTCTTCCACATGCAAACCATCCACTGGGCAATGTGACACAGTTCAACTGCTTAGCCTGGCAGTCACTGGGAACTGGCAGAACCTCCCACACATCCCGCGTGGATCGCATTACGCCTTTCCAAGATTGCGTCATCGTGTCTTAGAATATTGCGAGTTATTGTACAGTCACTCGAAAAGGTATTTTTCCGGAGGGGTCTGACGAATTTTAAAATGAACGCTGCAGCTCCTGTTGTCTCGGTAGGGTTGCCAAAATCCCTTGTTGGTTGTGTCACATTGTCTCACACAAAAACGGAATGATACCTTTTGGAGTGACTGTGCATCATTCTTTCATAGAAGTGACAATGCAGGAAAAGGATTCGGGTAGCGACCATCGTAAAACTTATTTTTAGCCATCGCATAGTAGTAAATGGTGTTTATTTATTTTTTATCTTAAAACTGATCGAGCATAAATAGATCTATCATATAATGGTCATTGCCTGTACTGTACTGTTTTCTGATGAGGGTAGTGTGGTATGTTAAGGTTTAGTCATCATGGCATTAGTTGGGTTCATGAATTTATTTCGCTGTATGGTACTAAAAGCTTGACCCATTTTACTTGGATTTCTGCTTTGGGTGCATGATCTTACACCAGGGCTCCAGAAAGAACACCCAGTCAGGCGGGGCCTTGGTGAGTTGCACACTTGTTTTTGTTTTTGTGTTGTACTCATGAATGCCACCATTTTATTTTAAGATCTTTCATTTTATTTAGATTAAAGTGTGTCTGAATATCCCTTGTTATTTCATTTTGAAGAACATCTTATATAATGAGCTTATGAGCTTATGAATAACTTTTAAATTACCTGATAAAAAATAATGATATAATGACATACATATGATCACCTTCCCTTATTTTGAGGGCAATTTCTTGGTGATGGCGGTTATACGTTTCTGGAATTTCTCTGCTTGTCTTCATGTTATTTGTATTAGATTAGTTATTTGTAATGGGATCTCTGATACAGGCTCCCAGCAGTCTCCTTGATGCCTTAGAGGCCCACCTGGCATCACTGGAGGGTAAGAAACCACCAACCTCCTCCGCCTCCACCAACTCAAGGTACAGCATTGTGTCCTCTGGCATTATATCCCAATGAATTAATTACTTTCAAGTACATTAGATTTACTTTGTTGACATTTAAGGTTTTATCAATTTTTGGTTTAATTTTTTTTAAGTCATTTAACCACTGCATAGTAAGCAGGATCCATTAACTTGAGGTCAGATTTAATGATTATTACTTTGAGGGTACGTAGTGACTAGAATTTTATATTATTGTAATCATTTTATGACTTGGCTTGCTTAAGGAAACTGTATTTAGAGGACCTGGGTGAGGATAAGGGTGCTAAGTGTTCGTAATTTACCCGTAGTTGCTCCTAATACATTTATTTCCCATTAGTATAATGCTGCTCAGACAGAAAATGAATCATCATATTTTGCTACATCCAGGTCTTCTAAATTGTCAAGAGAATTTACTGTTATGTGTGTGTAAAGGTCGTTCCACAGAAAAAATATTAATGTTTCTAGTAAATAAGTACTATACACTATTAATGAAGCCAATTGAGGTTTAAGTCACTTTAATATTTGATTTTTTTTTTTTTTTTTATTTGTTGTAAACTTTTCTAATCAAGTTTGGTTTGGATCAGACATCATGAAAAGATTGCCTGGGTGGAGACTTTAAAAGGTTCAGTGACATATCTGTACTGTACATCTACTGTATAGGTGATTAGGTTGCTGCATTTAACTCAGTAAACTGTCTCCTCTTAATTACCTCACATACAGACACACAGTAGTCATGCAGCTGGGGCCTTTTTACTTGGAGGAGTTATCATTGACTGAACACTTCACCTTGGGAATGTTTAGCTTTAATGGCATTATATTTGTTGGGGTTTACTTTTATGTTTATGCCATAGATGTTTATCATATTTTGTAGAAATATTATTTGATTAATATTGTCAGAAACTAAAAATTAATTACCTGTACATATAGATGAATATAGGAATAATGTTAATGCAAGTGGAAGAATATATTACACATGTTTTACCTAGATTCACATTTCCATTTTGACTATGGAAAGACCTATAGATATGATGTGAAGTGTTCTATGCATGGGTAACTGTTATGTTGTTCATATAAGAGTGTGAATATCCCTTATGTTTCCTTACACAGTTTGTCTTGTTAGATGTAGTCAATTTTAATACTGTTCATGGCTATACAACACTTTTATTTGTGCAATTGTCCCAGGCAAGTGTACCTACCAAAGTGCTCTGGGCCTAAGATAGTTCATATTTGTACTGTTTTAGATCTAATTTAAGTGGTGACAGACACAGATCACTCAGCACATCAGGGTGGCAGAACATTTGTGAAGGCTGGGGAGTTAGGATTTGAGATATTAATGGTGCGTTGTCAGTGGTCCATGAAGGGCTCGATAGCAACAGATTTGCTTCGTTATGCTGAGTTTAGAGAGAGACAAGGAGACTCACTAGCCAATCACAATACCTTATAGTTAATGTATTTGTGCACTGTATAGTTTTGTCATTAGTTTTAGTGCACAAACAGCACAGTCAAATGTGCACTAGTCTAATTTGAAACATAACTACCAGTACATGAATGGCATCTTGTCTTGAGCTCCTACCAGAATATTAAATGATCATAATCTTTTCCAGTAAAGGAATAAATGACAACACACATGTAAACACTGAAGTATAGATAGACCTTAAAGGAGAGTATCTTGTTTGATAATTTCCATTGTAAAATAAAAAAAATAAATAAAAAATATATATAATTTAAAAAAGGTTGAGGGAAGTTGTAATCCATCAAAAGTACATATACAGGTACCTTAATCTTCAGCCTCCCCCCTCCATCCCCCTTTTCCCCCCTCCCTCCCCTCCCCCCATTACTGCCATGTGGAGCTTGGCTGAGGAAGTGGGTAGTGGAGGAGAGGGAGGTAGAGGAGAGAGCATGGACTGGCTAACCACTAATCCTCTCAGTTCTGCCACCCATGATAAATATCCTGTGCATGATTAAAAAAGAAAGAAAAAAAAACTATACCCTGTGTATATCCAGGACTAGAATTTTGGTGTCGGATACATACTTGCCAGTCAAAAAAAACAAGAACAAAACAAAAAACAAACACTTGACCTGGGTGTTAGACAAACATATTGTACAGTCCTGTTGTTTTATGAATATAATATTTTTGGGATTTAATGTGTTTTATACTTCTTATAGTTTCTCTCAATATATCACAATCTGTTTTATATACTTTTGGACCATGTAATTTCTTTGTTTATTTATTTTAAGATAAATTATAATATGTGAGATGTACTATATGGACGGTGAATGTTTATTAGTATGTTGCTCAGGGTGGAAGTGGCAGTCACTAAGGAATGGGTACAGTGTGTTAGGTGCATTATAGTATGGGCATAAGGCAGGGCACTTGTATGAATTTAAGTACTATACTGTATGTTATTGGTGTAAGTGTTGGGAGAAAGAGTAATAACATAAGAATAAGTTAACAGAGAAATGTATGTACTGTACTGTATCTGTTAGCCTTAAAACTCTGTAGAGTATATAAAGTTTGGTGTGTGTGTGTGCGCGTGCGTGTGTGTGTGTGTGTTTTGCTAGAGACGGAAGAATTAGTTTTTGTCATTTATGGATCTAAAATAAAAAAAATAAAAATATGAAGGTGGTGCAAAATTGTTATGGAATTATAAAAAATGTGTTGTATCAATGAGTTGTTGAATATTGACAGTGTCTACAGGGAGTGTGAAGCATGTGTGTGTGTCTGCGTTTGTTTTTTAATGTTTTTGTTTTTTGTTTTTAAGGGAATCTGGTGTTAGGTACAAATAGGACTATGTCATTGCTGCATAATAATGTATGGGAGATTTGATATTTTCCTGGGTGTGATGTTGAGGGTGAGGGAGAGAGAGAGAGATGCTAGTGTTTGGGTAAGTGTTGATACAGGGTGTAAAGGGAGGTGTTGGTCAGCAGCTGTATGATGATGATCTAGAGGCTGAGGAACAGAAAGAGTATACAGTAACTATATATATATATATATATATATATATATATATATATATATATATATATATATATATATATATATATATATATATATATATATATATATATATATATATATATATATATATATATATATATATACCCCTCCATGAGGGGGCCAGAGGCATTTCGGTTTTCGGAATTTTTCGGTTTTCAAATGGTTAGGGTTTTTTTTTAATGTGTGTTAGCCACCCGGGCATAGATCACTGACCCACATTGGGCCTGGGGGCGAAAATATAATAAAAATTATAATATCAATAATAATAATAATAATTATAATTCATAGGTCTAGGTCGTGTTTCTCACTTTTGATCTTTTTTTCATTCTTGTATTTCTTTACTGTATTATTATTTTATTATTACAGTATTATTGTTATTATTATAATTAATTTTATTATTATATTTTATTATTGTTATTATTGTAATCATTATTATTTAATTTTGGTGTATTTTTATTATTATTTTTATTTACTATGAATAATTATTATTATTATAATTATTATTACTATTACATTTTTGCCCCCCAGGCCCCGATTGGGTCAGTGATTTGTGCCCGGTGGGCTAATCCCTGTAAAAAAAAAAAAAGCAGCCTCACAAAAAACTTTTTTTAGAGCTTTTCAGAATTTCGGATAAAGGGTTGTCAACCTGTATATATATATATATATATATATATATATATATATATATATATATATATATATATATATATATATATATATATATATATATATATATATATATATATATATATAGTGATATGTTTAAAAATGTATAAACTTAATAAAAAGAAGCTTCCAAATTTGTTAACTACGACGTATTCTAAGAGTTAACAGGCTTCGAGGGTGGGGCAGTGTGTGTGGCTACTAGAAAGATCATGAATGTGTAATTAATTTTTGTTTCTGAATTATTGTTTTAGAATTACAATCTTTTTTTTATGGTATTTATATTATATTTATTGTTTTATTTCTTTTCTCTTCGCCACGTCCTTTTCCTTCATCCGCCAATTCTTTTCATTTTTCCTTATTTCACACTTGTTTTATATACTGTGGTTTCTTTCTTTATATAATTTCTGCAATGCTTTTGTCTTTATTGGGGGTAATAATTCTATAAATCCCTTTCTTTTTTTGTACGATTGACTGAATATTTTAACAATGTCACCTTCTTATTTCTCGCTTGGGTAATGCTTTTACCTGTGCTTGATGGCGTATTATCTTCTACTGTTGCCACGCTTGGATGTTCTTGTACGCTGTTGCCTTGTATTGACTGTAATAAAATGTTTGTTCTACTAATCACATAATCCATAACTGCAAATAATGTTTCTTATGGCTGCTGCTCTACTGCTCTTCTTCCTCTCTTCTCTCTCTACTGTTTGCTGACCAACCATCTCTAATAACTGCTCCTTGTATGTGGTGAATACTAACTTCATGTACTCTTAAAATCTGATACCTCCTCCTTTGACTTCTTATCACTTTACTGTACTTTCACACCACCTCATTTGCATAACCCTCTTCTTCAACTTGCCCACTCTGCATATAATCTTAAACCTACCCATCCTTCTCCCAATCCTGATGAACCCATATACAAAACCTTAATCCTACCAACCCAACAAACATAGTAAAGTGAACATCAAGAGTGCCGTATCTGCACTCAACTCGACTAGTGTTTCCTTTGGTACGGCAAGCAGCAATGGACGTATGGGGGACACTGTTGCTACGAACAATGGAACAAATGTAGATGAACTCACAAAGAGGGCGGCACTGGCTGAAGAGGAGGCCATGTATGAAAAGCTACGGGTAAGTACTGTTGACCAGGACAATTTGGGATCACAAATTGTGTTTTCATGAAGTATATTAATAATGGGTTCTGTTAGTTATTCCCAAGAGGGTTATGAAAGTTTCAGTTAGATAAAGATGTATAAGAGGAATATGGAACATGAGAACTATAAATAGGAGAAATACAGAATTGTACTTTCAAAGAGGTTTATGTATGTGTCCAAAAGGAAGATGCACCAACACAAGGATTCAGACTCATTTTGTATACAAGTGAATAGGAGTAGGTTGTGTATGTCCGAGAAAGTCATGTAAATAGGTCTGTTCTCTTGTATGTGTGTGAGAAGAGCCTGTGTCTGTAAATCTTGTGGTTGGATGTGCACTTTAGTTTTTCACTTGGCTGAGTCACTCAAATTTGATGCATGAAAATGATATGCACTTATTACAGAAAATATTACTTAGTTTTTTCAAGTGAGAATATGATGTCTGATTGTTGGTAGTCCATTTTGCATGCACACAAAGGCTAAAGTCACATATGGTGCTGGTACTGTGCCTGTGTCCCTTATGTCAATATTTCTAAAACTTATTCTTTATGTTTCAGGGTCATGAATGTGGTAATGTGAGCAGTTGTTCTGTGTGGGGTTGGGAATATTCACTCTTCATGAATGAAATTTTTTTAATGTAATACAATACATAGTAGGTTTTCCCAAGCTGAGAATGTTGTTCTTGATGAATAATTGCATGAAAGATAATAAAAATATTGCCCTCCTGTCCTCAAGCCATGACCAGGAGCCTCAAGTAAAAGTTTGTCTTCAAGTTAGCTTTTAGAGACTAGTGTTGTCCTACTCTTACAGAGAGTCACTGGGGATCTTGCATATAAAGTCTTTGGAGTAGCCTTCCATTACTGTACAAGAGTTAATATTAACTTCTTTGTTTATGTGTTTGCCAAGATATGATCCATGTTTTATATGAAGGTTTCTTAAGAGTGTACAATGTTTTATCCAAGTATGAGCTACTGGAAGGAAGCATTTATTATGAACTCTCTCTTGGGATAAAATAACTAAGTGTGGCATTTTGTCAGCTTTAACTTCTCTTGGTATGTGTTTTATACAAATACAAAAGTAGTAAAAAGTCTGCTTATTATACAGCCAATGAAAGAGCTTTGCCTTTACAAGTCAACCAATATTTCTAATGCACAATGCAGAATTTTCTGCTGGTTGTTAGTAAACATTATGTAAATCGATACTTTGGTGCAGTAAACTTTTTTCTTTACCCCTGCCTTATGATCATTGACAAATGACTTGTTTACTGTAGATTCAAGTTACCCAAGTCCTAGATCTGTTTCATGTCCTTTTTTATATCATCTCTGGTAAAGAGTGACACTCTTGTCAATATACTCATTAGGAACATCATCTCTTCAGCCTTAAACTTGAGGCCCCTGGACATTTTTGGGTTCAAGGAGCAGACTGGGCCGATGTTAATGAGTGTGTGAGTGGGCATCTTTGCTTGTTTTAGCCTTATGGAATTTTTTTACCTGTGATTCTGGTTCCAGACTTGTCTTTAGACAGCATCAATTTAAGTCAAGGCAGCTGTGGTAAGAAGAGAAACTATTTTGTAACTCGGATTGGCTTTCAGTGAATACAATTGGCTACTGCACACAACCCCCAAGCTTTAAGTATCACATTTATTATTCATAAAGTTGAAAGTTGTTGTAGATTTTCTCCAACATATTTTCTTATTATGAGTATGGGAATATTTCTCAAGACCTTCCCATCACCTGACACTGGAGTTTCACTGCTAATGGTGCACACCTCAGTAGCACCATAAATGTACGAATGAGAACAATTAGAAATATAATATCTCCATTAAATTTTTATTTTTACAAGGTTTGTAAAGAATTTTTTTAGTTTTTTTGTGTAATTTTTATGCAACTTGGAAATATGTTTTGGCTAAAAAGTTTTTGAGATTAGCATTGAAGATCAGAAAATGTCACATTTTATACACCTAATAACAGTAGTACAGCTCCTCCCCGACCTACGACCTACTCGACTTACGACCACCTGGACATACGACCGCCTCAGTCGTACCAAAATTTTGTCAAATTACGTGTTTTCGAGTCCCAATGTCAGTGATTGCGCTGTGTACTGACAAAATTTTCGTTTGTAATTCACTTTAAAATGGCTGGCAAGCTTAAAAGTGAGACTTTTGTGGTGCTGAGAAGAAAAAGACACCCATTTTAGATTTTCTATGTATTATTTAAGCATTTTTGACTAAGACCATTTCGACTTACAACCTGGATTTGGGTCCCTAACCCCGTCGTAAGTCGGGGAAGAGCTGTATATTGAAGTATAGTACTAATGTAGAGTATTAGTCCTGTCCAGGGATTGTGTGTTAGTGATAATATGTTGATGGGTAATGTATAGAAGATAAACTGAGAGGCCACTGCTTTCACCATAACACCTGTTAGAATGTGAAGCAGTGTCTCTGTTCTTCATCTTGCTGTAAGTTGCACACCAATTATTGTCCAAATATTTTTTCATGTCAGAATGCAAAATTGGTCACTAAAGCCTGATGGTCTGGCAAAAGACAAGTTTAGATCAGCCATCTCACGAGAGTTATCAGTAAGCATAAAAGAAAAATGGGGTTAATTGACCTGGTGCCTTCTTAGCCCTTCCAGGAGCTTTGATCATAAGATTCTTCACAAGGCAGATCTTCATATGTGGGTTGGTTCTTGTGTTAGTTGTACAAACTTGAATGATATTGTTTGTTTGAAAGAATGTGGAAGGACAGCAGACAGTAGGGAGCCTCAGGCCATCCACTCCTCTGGGTCAGGCTGCTTTTTTGTGTAATGTAGCTGGGTGTAATAATTTTGTTCTAATGAGAGAACTCCAGTAACCATGAAAAAGAGAGAGAAAAAAAGTGACAGTGTTTCAACTTCCTTTTTTTCCATAAAAACACATTTTGTTCATAAATCCAGTGAAATTAGAGAAAGGTTAAGAGTTCTATGGTAAAAAAAATACACACATACACAGTAATTCTTCTTCACTACAAAATAAGAGGAAGCTCAAGTAACTGACCAACTCCCCTGCATCAGAGCTGGAAGTTTGTATGCCAATGGAATTATTTCTTATAGACATTACTACTAGTATGTTAACTAGCTTAGGATGAATTCCACTTGGCATGAAGACACGCACCATACATTACATGTGCATCTTGATCTTGGTCTCCATCTGTCTCTCATTTCGAGACTGCAGCTACTGTTTTCCTGCAAAGTCTTGTGTGTGCTGCCACTCCCTCCTGGCTTAGACTAAGTTGACATCCTTTAGCACCTTGAGTTACACTTGCCATCATTACTAGGACCTCTCAAGTTACAATTACACTATTTCTCCAAAACTTCACCTTCACTTCTCTTACAATGCTCAAGCTGGGATAGCATTATTTGTCATCAGATTACTTAATGCTCATTTTTACTACACCTTCTACCTGAACCTTAAACGAGGCTGCAGCAATAACATTACAGGAACTGTAAACCTTTGTATGTGTTGCCATGCCCACATTGCTTGGAATGATTATCTTTTGCACCAAGACAACTAATAAAGGGTAAATTAGTATCTCGACTTAATTTCCATTGTCTAGTTATTTTAAGATCAAAACAAAGCATCATATATGTGGTAAATCCACTACAAGCAAATCCTCACACTATTTACACGATTCAACATCTCTGGTAATAAAGTACCCTGTACTTACCATGGTGTAGATGTGTCCAGATTTTTCAGCCATGTAGTTGATCTCAGCCTTGTACAGAAGTATAGAGGCTTTATTTGCTCTTCATCTACTATTGAGGTGTTAGTTAAAACAGAAAGCCATGTCATGGAATAGAGAATCAATATGTGCCTTATGTATATATATGTTGGTTATATTTCATTCATACTCATATTTTAATTAGTACATTACAGTGCCTGAAGTCTGATCACACATTCTTCATAGTTTGGATGCCTGGTAAAACTTGTACTGTTGTCCTACTGTATGGAGAGAGCCATATTGATTTATACTTCTCTTTCCAACCATTCATGTTATCTATAGAATTCTCTCCCACCTAAGTTTATTACAAAGGTTGAGCAAACAGTATCCAGTGTAGGGCCATTGGTAATTGTCTGATGAGATAGTGCAACCGTTTGATTTATTTTTGACAAGCGCAGAAAAATAGGTTTAGCAAACAAATTTTTTACGTCTTTCTCTTGCTATGTTATTAACAAATCTCACCCCTTCTTTGTTTTACCATCCCATTATGAGGAAGTAAGTTGATGCTGTGTGCTTGAGGAAAAAACAACAACAACATTTTCTTTTTATAATAGTATCCACCCACACTCACCAGTTACTTCAAGCCGAGTGTCCTTGATAGAAAGTGAAGCTTCTGGTACTGTTTGGGATCAGTGAGGCGTCTTTTAGCTTTTATAACCTATTTCACCACCCAACCAGGCAGAAGCCAAGGATGGGCTAGCAGTTTGAGGTCCATCTGTTCATTCATTCATTCATTCATTCATCAGTATCCATATCTCAGACATGCATGAATGGACTTCATATGAACTTGCCATATACAGTATGAGACATAAGCATGTCATTTTGTTTTGCAGTCAGATGTAATATACTGACCATGCTTAATCATATGTTTTCAAGTGGGGGACGGTGACACCAGTAATGATGTAGTATAGGTTGTCCAAACTTGGCACCAGACCACTAGGCAGTAGTGATAATTAATATGTCCGAGCAAACTGGCCTATTGTACCTCAAAACTGCTTTTCTGTTTTAGCAAGGGAGCTGGGTTCCTGGAGTGGCGGGAGCTCAAGGGACTTCTAACATAAAGGTTTTTATATTTCTTTGCTGTAGAATTATTTTTTTTTTATTTGGTTTCTTGTTAAGTTTAATGATTGTAAATTAGTTGGCTTAAGTTTGAGTATCATGTTGGTAGTTATTGTAGTATGTTGATAATATAACCGGTTAAAGGGAGTTAAAAGTACAGTACACGTTAAACATCACAATTGCAGTGAAATGCAGTACTACTGTACTGTACTGTAAATTAATCTTCTGATGTTAGATTTGAACAAAGCATTAAAGTGAATTGTCCAAAGCTAGTTTATTATTTTTGTAGGCTTAAGAGTATTGATAAGTTTACTGTACTGTAAATTTGAGTTGGTGACACCCAAGAATCACATAATTGACAGAGGAAAATTTCAAGTAATTGATCATTACCTGTAAATAAAATGGACTTTCATTTATATATATATATATATATATACATACATACATACATACATACATATATACATACATACATCACTGACATATTTAGTATTGAGTTGATTCAATCAACTAACGTTTGGGAACATCACTAATCCCAGCCTCAGAGCTGAGCCTAAATGGACAGAGTTTTAAAGTTACATGTACAAATTAATAAGAATAAAATAGTGAATCAAATTGTTTTTTAAAAACACAAACAATAATATCAATGAATACAAAGTTGAGATAAAGAAAAACAAAAGACTATGCTGTATTTGACAGATCAAGTGTAAAATACTGTACTAAATGCACAAAAGTGAATCACATAGTATTTTAGACTTGTCATGTCAGTCAATCAAATAACCCTGTATTTTTTACCCAAGTTTGTACATACAGTATTGGTAAATTTTTTCTTTATTGCCCCATGTTTGTTTTTATTGATAATTTTGTTTTGTTTATAAGAATTTTCAATTCTCTATTTTGTTATTATGAATACTGTACACACATGAGTTAAGTTGGAGGTGGTAAGGTGCATTGCGGCTGGTGAAAAGACAAGAACCATCAGTAAGGTTTTAAGACAATCTCAGTCTTCTGTGTCAAATATAAAACAAATAGTTTTATTTCTTTTATTAAATTAATATCTATGTATACTGTAATGCATTTTCAGTTTATATTTAAGCAAATACAGTGATCCCTCGGTTAACGAACTCCTCGGTTAACGAAATTTCGGTTAAAGAATTACCTTCCATAAGAATCTTCATTTCGGTTAACGAACAGAAATTCGGTTAACGAAATTCTTACGAAAATGTTTCGACATGCTTTGGCTTGCTCACCAGCTGGAAGGTTAGTCCGCCAATACAGAAATCGGTTCTAGGGCTTACATTCGTTAAAATTGGAGTAAATATCAAGAAGGTTGTACTATTCAATAATTTTCCAAGTTTTATATTAAAATTTTTAGTCATTTTAACACTTATTTAGCATAATTGCAGTACAGGGAGCTAGTTTTTGGTGTGCCCATCAGCCACTTCACTCACCCACCAAGGCCTCAGTTTGTATCTCTGTTCAGTGGAGGAAACATCTTGCTTGTGGGTCTCTTGAACAAAGTATTTTTATGTTTTTACAGTACAATTATTGGTCATTCTGAAATAAATTTAACTTATTGACAATATATAGTGGAGTGCAGTGTTGATTTACAGAAAATAATCTTGAATTACACCTAGTGAACTTAAAATTTTATGGGTGAAATGACGGCATCAAGCATGGGGTGATTTCTCTTCCACCCCCACTTCCTTCTCTTCTCCCTTCTCCTCCATCCCCACTTCTAATTCCCATCATCATCAACCAGGAGCCTTGTACATACACACCTCAAAGTAAGTGTACTTTACTGCATTTTTTTTTACTTTGTATGCAATTTTCGGTGAGCTGGGACCAATTACCCAAAATCCCATTGAAACAATGGTTTCGGTTAACAAAATTTTCGGTTAACGAACGACCCTCTGGAACGAATTGTGTTCGTTAACCGAGGAACCACTGTACTTATGTTGTTTTAAAGTGTCTGGATAAAACAATTCGATTTATGATTATTCGGTTTACAATATAGTTTCAGGAGTGCAACCCTGTCAGTATATTAGAGAGCAAAATAATGAAGAAGATACACTTACGAATGAAATAATAATGATGGTATTGTGGTGGTGAGCCTCGGAGGGTGAGGGGATATTGGCTAGAAGCCTCAAACCTGTCAAACTTGACTTAAAAGCTTTTCCACTTTTTCAAGATTGGGATTTGTCTTGGTTATATACGACACCCTAGCCCTGACAGGTGTAGACGCTTTAATGCTAGCATGAACCCTGTCCTCAATGGAATGAATGGTACATATACTTGACTCATTTACTTTGTACACTCATCCCTGAATATTTGCATATTTAGTACAGGTATTTGCATTTTGAAGATTCATTGGAGACTAAAATATTCATAATCTGAAGTGGTTTATATATATTTTAAAATTGGGGGCATCTACTGCAAGCCTCAGTACACCCAACTCACTAGTGTGCATTACCCTGCCAGTTTCCCTCATCACCACCATAATTTAAGGTTGGTTTTATTAATTAATGAAATGTATTTTATTTCTTTTATATTCACAGTATTAAGCATAGCCTTTCTACATAAAATTGCATTATATACTGTTTAATTCACTGTTTTACATAAATGACAGTAATTGTAGCTCATTGAATTGTGTCAAGTAGCTTTTTTTGGAATTAGCCCACCCGGGCACAGGTCAAACGACCCACAACGGAGCCTGGGGGGCGAAAAAAAAAGAATGGAAAGAAATTGAAAATATAGAAAAAAGGTTATACTGTATTAATCTACACCACGAAGATGCTGGAAAACCAGCTTTTTAAAGTGAGATGTTTTCTTCATAAATAAATATTACTACTACAGTATATTTTTTACGCTTTATTTCTTTTATATTTACACTACAGTATGCAGTAGTGTTATACATAAAACGTGTATCTGTTTACCACTTAATGTATCGTGTCATTGGTGAAGAGGATAAAGTTAGATGTAAGTGACTCTGATTCAAATATTTTTGTTTATCTTTCCGTTATGTTATTGTTATAGATATTAATTATTTCTACATTTTTAACTATTTCTTTCTTTAATGTTTACACTATACACTTGTGTACTGTATAAGTTTACTGCATAATGCATTGTATTTTGCATAAAAGTCAATTTTGGTAATGTTAGGCTGGTTTTTTTTTCTTCATAATTCTCATTTACTTCTCTAATTTGTTACTATTTATTTACTGTATTGCTCGAAAGATAAGTGACATTTGAAGGGATTTAAGTAAAGAGGAATGCAGTGTGATAAAAGTTAATTATTTTGAGACATTGGTAATTGCATATTTTGCGGATCACAGCCATTTCTAGAAAGTATCTTCGTGAATATTCAGGGATTAATGTACACACGCTGACAGTCACCAGTCTCATACCGTCGTGTATCTTGTCAGGTAGTGTCATAACTTTCTCTGCTCTCTTTGCATTATCATCTAGTCATAATATTTTTGTACCATATTACAGCTAGGGGTGAAAACACACTTACCATGCAGTGGCATGATGACTGTGGTAAGCAGTGCAAGTGAGTGGCATTTTCAAACTCAGACAAATGGATGATCACTTTTTTTCTGTCAATTAGTGCCACATTTTTTTTTCGAGATAATCAAATCCATGTTCAAGGAAATTGCATTGGACAATGTTTGACTGGAGAGAAAAAGAGAGAATTGTATAGTACAGTATTAGCAGACACCTATCCAGCCAGAATGTTGAAAGATCAGACAAGGGATTCTCTGATACTGTAATTATATCTTATTAACTTAATTTTAGAACAATAGCGCTGGTGAAGATGATATAAGCCCAGTGATGTGACCGCTGCCGTAGTAAGGGATAATAAGCTCTAGTGTTGTGCTTAAGGTGTTGTATAATACATTCAGTTCAGTGGAGCACATGTACCAAACAGAATGTTCTCATAAGATCTTGCATATTAATAGCTTTTTCTTGTAAAAAAAATCACCACACACAAACATGGGAAATGGCAGTAAAATAATGATGATGATGATGATATAAAAGTATGAAAATAATGTGATAATAGTAACAAACATAATTTCAATTTTCACCTTATTTTTGAATATTTACCGTCTTCCTGTACCTGTATCAATTTAGCCAATGAGTCGTTGTTTCTGAGCACAAATACTGTGAGTAATTTTTGTAGGAAAATTCTACTGATCAGCCATGAACCACTGAACTATCTGCTTTTCTTAGAGTACGAAGCATTGGCAAGTACTGTGTCGTAATTTAATGTGCCTGACTGTGAGCTTAGATGGGAATGCATTTTTCAGCTTTATAAATTTTAAGTATTGTGCAGTGTTTCCCTGGTGTTAAAGAATGATTTTGTTTTTTTATGTTTTTCTTAGAGCGAAATAATGTAACAAACTCGGTTTTTCCACCGACTTCTACTATATAATTGGAGATGTGTTCCTACAGAAATTATTCAGCCAAAAGACATTATAGAAATATACTAAACATTTATTTTAATTATTTTATATTTTATTAAGAATTCACATTAGTCATTAATAAACTAAAATGATGGTGATCAGTGCACAAGATGATGGTTCCTGTGAGGTGATGCTGTTGAATCATCTTCCTCACCCATTAATCATTACCTGCTTTATTCTCTGAAGGCAAAAAAAAAATGTATCCTCAGTTTTTGCTTTGTATAGAACTTCTCATTGTACAACTCCCTGAAGAGGTTACCTGGTAATGTCTTTATTGACTACTTTTAAAACTTTGAGGCTTTGATAATAAATGGGAATTATTATCAGCCAAAATTAGCTTCTAGTCAGCTGAACTGGTGTGGGTCAGCATCCTTAAGCAGGCCAAAGGTAGAAGGGTGGCTCTCAGGGGATTTTGAATGGGATTATTTTAAATTACCATGGGTAATAGTTTCGTTAGGTTGAATCCATGCATGATGGGAAGGGCTAGGAGCAAATTTTAGCTCTAGACATGAAAAATATTTACCAGTTACTGCCAGTA